CTATCCTGGACTCATGGCTGTGTGCTATGGCAGGGCTATCCTGGACTCTCTAGAAGCTGCTTTCACTCAGCACCTGGCAGAGTGTGCATGGCTCCCCTTGCTACAGCCTTATAGCTCCTCCCTGGGGACATCGGCACTGGTCCATCTGGGGCCTGTGGGGCCCTAGGATGCAGGAGGCGGCCAGCTCTTGCCTGCCTCTCAGCCATCTCCAGCCACACTATAACCCCCCCCCCACCTTGTGTTTCAGAATATCGCCTGAGGCCAGTGCAGGGCACAAGCCACCCTCATCTGCCCATTCTGATGGGCACAAGAAAAGGAGGAGCAGCAGTATCACCTCCACCCTGGGGCTCAAAAAGCTCCTCTCGGCCCTGGGCCACACCCCCCGGCCCAGACTGGGCACATCCCGAAGCTACAGTGTGGAACAGCTGCAGCCCTCAGCTCCCCATACCAGTACCTCCAAAGTGAAGAGAGCCCCATCATTACAAATCCTGCATCTGGTGAGTCCCCAGGGCCCTGGACGGTAGGCTGTGGCCCCAGGAGTGCGGTCTGTTGGGATGAAGGGTCCTTGCCCGTCCAGCTCACAAAAGCGGGGACCTGCTGGTGTCTTCACGGCCGACCGCAGGACTGTGTCCGCTGTGTGTGCAGCACCTCTCAAAACTGGTTTCGACCCGCCATCCACTGTGCTCTTTCTCCCTGTCCCGGGAATTTGTTGTGTCTACTTTCTGGAGAGTTCACGGCCTGGTTTCTTTAACCTTCTCCTTAGCCACAGCTATTCTTTTAGTTCAAACGCAATTTCTTCTTGCTTTTTTTTTTTTTTTTTTTAAATTATTTTCTGTGTGTGTTTTGCCTGCATATGCACCATGTGCATACCTGGTACCCACAGAATCCAGAAGAGGGCACCAGGTCCCCTAGGACTGGGGTTGTCAACAGTTATGAGCTACCACGTGGGTGCTAGAGATTGATCCTGGGTCCTCGGGCAGAGCAGCCAGTGCTCTTAAAATCACTGAGGCATCTCTCCAGCTTGCAAACACAGTTAATTTTAGTCTGTATTGGCACAGCAAGCCTTGACTGGCCTGTCCATTCTAGTCTTCATGTGGCTTCCAGAGTGGTATTTCTGAGGATGCATGAACCTGGCCGTACCAACTGCCCCTGGCCCGAGTGAATCCATTTCAGTCCATTTATCATGTTCGGGATAAAGTTGAGACCACTTAGGGCTGTGAGAGGATCTGTGGTCTGTCTGCTTTTATGTCTCATCCCTTCCAGAACACTCTCAGCCTCCGCTGGGGAGACCCTTTCTCCCTTTTACAGTCAGGTCATACAGTGCGTCTCACCTGCTGACACCTGCTGTTTCCTCAGTACTCCAGACATGTCTCTCTCGGAAGTCATCACAGTCTGCAGGCCGAGGGGCCTTCTGCTCCCTGCCCTCCCTCCCCTCCCTCCCGCCCGGGCTTCCCTCCCCCATGTCTCTCTCCTCTTCCTGGGCTATGGTGTCTATATTCCCAACACCTATCCCAGGAGTTAGTCTAGTGTTTCCAGCTCACATTGAGTGAGCACAAGGCACCAGCTAAGCATCTCTCCATGTGCTTAGCAAATCACCTCAGCACACAAGCCTCGACCAGGAATCCTGTTCTGTACTAGGAGCTTGTAGCTATTCTGTTTATGCTGCCCTTGACGTCCTCCTCTGCAGAATAAGGAGGAGAGCCGTGGTCTACGGCATGGGGAGCCTTTCATTTCCAAGGCCGAGGAGGGGGAGACTGGCGGCCCGTGGACTGCTTTCGTCAGGACAGTATCTGGGGGTGGAGGTCTGCTGGCTGGATGAGTAGCGATGGGGGGAAGAAGCGGAGGGTGAGCTGAGAAGGGAGGCAGCGTGGGGATATGGCACCCCGGAAGCTGCCTCCAGTTCAACTTCTCCGGCATGAGCTGCGGGCTGTGGCACCTGCATTTATTGCCATTGGAGTTTCTGTCTCCAGAAACCCCGCAAGGGAAATAATAACGCCCCTGTGTCTCAGAGGTCCGGCTGCAGCGCAAGCTGAGTGGCTGAAGGGAGAGAGCAGCCTGGCTAAGTGAGGAAGGATGGGACA